ATGCCAATATTTTAAAGGCTTTATTTATTTAGATAACCCTCTGATTTATTAAAATTACTTATCATTATAATTACTTATATTACTATTAGATTCTATTGTGCCACAATTTTTAATAAAAAAAAGAACACTTAAAGAGTACATTAAGAAGACTTTGGCAAGTCTAACCTTATTTGTATATGTTTATACGTTCAAGAGATATCAGGTTTGAATTTTTTTTAAAAAAAACCTGACCAACAATTTACTATGTATATTTATAATTAGACTGATATAAAATACTCTAATAAAGGATCCAGTATATACGTATGTGGAAGAAAAATAAATAATTATTAAGCATTACTACAACTGCATTGAGCAAATACTTATGTATTAGTTATTATGACACTTATTATGACCATTATATTTATTATAACTGTTGTATTCATTATGTCCATTACACCTATTACAACTATTACACCCATTACAACTATTACACCCATTACAGCTATTACAGCTATTATGACAATTACAGCTGTTACAACTATTACACTCATTACAACTATTACAGCTATTATGACAATTATAGCTATTATGATTATTACATCCTTTATGGCAAAAAATTACAACTTTAAGTCAAAGGGTTGCAACTTTACAACTCTATCAAATCTATTACGGCAGGCAACCTTATTTATAATTATATAGAATTTTCTAATACTCAAGTCTAGCATTACTTGGCCACCTTATTGGTACCTAAGTGCAACCTGTTACATTATCTCAGTTAAAGATAGACTGCTTGTCTAACTACTTAAAGTCATATCAAAAAGGTCTTCTCTTTTTTGTGACAAGCATATCAATTGTCTTCCAAGCTTTCTTCTTTATTTGGTTCATTTTTCCTGCTTTCTTTTCCTTTTTCTCTTCTTTTGCTATCTTATTCTTCTTTGTTCTTTTTCCTAATCTTCTTTTAGTTCAAGAACCTTTTTTCATTTTACTTGTTATATTAATCTTCTTTTCTCATTCTTGTATTTTTCTATACCAAACTCTTTATACTTGGTCATAGAATGTATTTCATACTATTCTTGTTACTATATCTATGCATTTTTGTGTTTCCTGCCTATCTAGAATTTGACTTATTCTTTTTTCAACTTCATTCATTATTAGCCTTTTTATTAAAGCTGTTCTGTTAATAATTTTTTCTGCTTCTGTTTTTCCAAAAAATGCCTTATATAATACTAGAAGCAGGATTCTAACTTTTTTATTTTTTTTCAGACTATTTTATGCTACTGCTGTTGCTACTTTTTGGATCCTTTTCTACAAGCTTTTTTGTCTGATGCAGCTTACTAAGTATGCTTGAGTTTTCTTTTTACCTCTTTGACATACTTGGCAATTAGTCATTGTATATATTTCTAATCTTCTTCTATTTAGTTCTTCTAGTATTAGTAGACTATCTATTATGTATTTAATTACTGTTGCTCTTCTTGTACTAAGTTTTTTTGTTAAACAATATATACCCTTTGTTCTATTTATCTCTTTCCAAAAGCTTAATCAATTATATTATGTGTTTTCAGTTTCTGGCTCTAGTGCTTGAATTGGATTTGTTTCTCTTCAACTAGCTCCAATTTTGACATTTGTGACTATTTTACAAAAAAGTCTTGCTAGTATATTAGCTTTTCTATTTTCCTATTTTAAGTAGTACTTTATTGTATCACACTTGATCTTCTCTATAACTATTATTCTTCTACACATTGCTTTTTTTTTGTAAGTAAATCTGCTTTGTCATTTCACTTATTGTTACTGTAACTTTTAATCTTAACCAGTTCTATTCTATTGCTCTTGCTTTTGAGCTAATCTACAATATTCATTATCCACATTATTTTTTTTTTCAGAACTTTGTTATTTCTTATCTCTTAAATTGCTCTGTTGATATGCTTTAATAATATGAGACTATCTGTATGTACTTCTATACACTTTCTCTCTGATATGGTTAAAATTGCTAACCATATTGCTGCTAATTTTGTTGTTGTTGCTGAGAGCCAATCTTTGAGTCCTAGTGCTATTTCTTTCTCTGGCCAGTTTTTTCTGTTACTAACCTGCACCCAACTGATACTTATCTTTTCTATACTATTTTTCTTTTTTTCTTTATATAATGCTTCATCTGTATAAAGGGTTATTTGTCTTTGTTTTTTTTTTTGTTTTTTGTTAGAACTTCTATTAAGTAATCTATAACTTTACTATCAAACTTTTGCTTCTTGATTAATTTCATTTCTAGTTCTTCTACTTGTTTTAGCTTAATTAGACTTCTTTTTTTTCTCTATTTTTTTATTGTTCTGTTTTTTAGCATTTGTTCTAATGTTGTGTTAATCTTATTACTGCCTTTTTCTACTAATATTTCTAGAACTGCCTTTATATTATTGTTCTATCTTATTCACTTTTCACAATTATCTGTACTTTGTTCTGTCCTGTTCTTATATCTTTTATATTTACTTATCTTAGTATATGTCTTGCCTTCTACTTTCTGTAATAGCCAATGCTTAGCAAGAATTTTTTTCTTTTTCTTCTTAGATATCTTATTACTAAGTTGCTGATTGTGCTTTGGTCTATATACAATTTACTCTCTCATTCTTCTGTCTTCTGATATTTTTGTTCAATTAATCATTAGTATCTGTGTGTTGTGGCCACTAATCTTGTATTGGTTATATACTTCTCTACTTGACTGTATTCTTAATATCTTTTCTTCTATTTCACTAAACCATTTGACTTTTTTTCTTTGCATAACAACCCTAGAAGACTTTTGAGCTATTTTTACATGATTAGGTTTTTTTTTTTATGTCTACAAGTTGGTTCAAGTATATTAAATCTTTTTTATTTATTGTGCTACTGCTTGCTATTCATGATCCAACCCTAACTAATTCTCTTATACATATTCCATAATTATGTACTTTTCACAAGTAATTTTCTGCTCTGATGCTTATACCCATCTCTTTTGCTTTAACTATTGTCTAACAAGCTAAGTTGTGCTTCCAATATTTCATTTTTTCTGGTCTTCTTTTAGAATTCCAAATATCTTTTGTTAAGCCTGCTTTCTGATATCTTTAAGCTATTCTAAGCTTTGTTAGATTACCTAATATGTTTTTTTTTATTAAGTCTTGCAAATAAACTACTTATTTGCTTTGTTGCTATCTTTTAACTTAGTGATTTACAGTTTTCTAAATCTTTGTACTTAATTATGCAGTTATTTGTTGTTTTCATTATATTGCATTTATGTTTTGCCAAATATATTATCAGCTGATGAATTTTGTTGATCATCTTTTCTGACATTTTTGTTAACTGCAAAAGATATCCTAATTTTGAAATTATTACTATATTATTTATATACACAATTTGGCTTATTGTTATTTTTTTGTATCTGAGGTCTTTAACTGTTTGGTTAACTATTTTTTTTGCTTTTTTGCAGACTAGTGACTCTCTCATTCTGCTATTTAGCTAGATTCCTAGTGATCTTGCAATTTTGTTTTTTGGTTCTTCTGTTATTTTACTCTGTTCAAATATAATTTTTTTATCTTCCTTTCTCAGTCTAGAATTCATTACTATGAGCTTTAACTTTGCTCTATTTATTTCAATATTACTCACTTTGAAGAACTCCTCTGTAATTTCAAGAATTCTTAGCAGTTGGTCTTTGCTATTTGTAATTTATATAGTATCATCTGTATAAGCAATCATTGCTTGTCTATATTTTGTGATACAATTAATATTTGTATTTTTTAGTATTCTTTGCTCTACTATATAGTCTAGTGATTTATCTTCTTGAATCCTTTCCAACAGTAGGTTGTAGAAAAGCCACTAAACTAGTAGAGAATCACCTTTTCTTGATCTATACTATCTTCTGCTATTATTTCTTTTGTTAGGCCATAAGCTATAATTATCTTAAATTGATATTTACAAAAAAGATTAATAATATATTTTGTTATTCTTTGTAGTATTTTGATTCTTCTAAGAGCTCACTCTAAGCTTTCTAGTGGGACTGAGTCAAATGCCTTCTTTATGTCTTGTAGAAGTATTTATATTTCTTTATTTTTCTTTTGTGCTTTTTTCATTATCATATTTAGTATATGTATTGGTTGCTCTGTTGAGTTACTAGGCAAGCTTATATAATTTGATTCTTTGAGTATTTTTCTTTCTGTAAATATTTTGGCTAGCCTTCTTGTTACTACCTTTGTGACTAATTTTCTAAAGGTCTCAATTAATACTATTAGTCTAATATTGTTCAGATTATATTTTTAGTCTATATTTTTTGGGATTGGATAGATTTGTGCTATTTTCTATTTTTTCAGCATTTCTTCTGTTTCTAGAACTAGATTGCAAAGGCTCTAAAGATCTTTTATAATTTTTTTTCTATTTGTTTTATTAAAGTATAGCTTATGCCTAAGATTTCTGAAGCTGTATTGGCTTTAAGTTCTCTTAATATGGTTTTTTATTCTTTTTTTTCTATCTTTTCTTCTAACTTTTTGTATCAGAACTTTTTAATCTACTTTTTTGGGTTGTACACTTTTATCTATTCCTTAGACATCTCTTCTAATTTGGTTTTTTGCTTTCTGAATTGATTTTTAAAATATTTTGCCAGGCTATCTAAAACTGTCTTAGATTTCATTATTAGGCTGGTTTTATCTTCATTTTAGGTTATAAATCTGTTCAGAACTATTTTTTTGTATAGTTTGTTCAAGAGGCTAGCAATCATTCATACTTAATTAGTTTTTATCATCTTACTTCTTCTATTTATATTTTCTTCTATCTGTTTTCTTTGGACTTGTTTCTACTCTTCTTTTCTTCTGTTTTTTAGAATTTTTTGCTAGACTTTTATGTCATCTATTTAGGCTTCTAATCATTGTTTATATAGTTTTGATAACACTACTTCTATTCCTTTACCAATGTCTATAAGTTTCTTGTTTATCTCTTTTTTTTCCTCTTTTTCTATCTTTTGGTTTCTTCTTATTTTTGCTTTTTTGATTATTTGTTGAAATTCAATTATGTACCTATACTGTTATGGTTTCTTTTAGTGATGTTTTCTGTTTGCTTTTGTATTAAATATCTTCTTTTTGGAATTTTTTTATTCACCACTTCTATTATAGCCTATTCTATTGCATTTCATATATAATCTAGCATATCTGTACTGTACATATTGCTTTCTCTATCTTCTTCTAATTGTTTTAGCACTTTTTTCTACTCTAATTGTACTTGAAGCTCTTTAGCATATTCTTTCTAGTCTTTTTGCTTTGCTTTCTCATATAGATATACTGTTCTTATTTGGTCTTTGCATTTGATTTTTGCACAACTTTGGTTTGCAATTATATGTTCTATTCATATAACTGTTGTTAATATCTTATAATCACTGTCTATTATACTTTTTGCTTTCTCTATATTGGCTTCTTGAAAATCAGCTGCAATTGTTTCTAACAACCAGATATATTCAATTCTTGTTACTGCTTCTTGATTTGACTATGTGTATACTCTCTCTATTAGGTGTAGGTTTCTAAAAGAGTCTATAAAATTCTGCCTCTTAAGCCAATTGAAAATTGGCAATTTTTTATATTTTGTTATTTGTAAGTACAGTCTGTCTAATATGTTGTCAACTGTATGATTGAAATT